AATATGTAAAACAATAACCATTGATAATTTCCTACCACTTTGTCTGTAATTTGGTAAGCCCCTCCTATTATTATGTTATCCTTCTTTTACTCTTTAAAATAAAAAAAAAAATGAACTAAGATAGGTAGCTGTACAGCTACTATATATTCCCCCCAAGGGTCTTTAAATGGAAGAATACATAAAACAAGGTTATGCATTGATTTGTTGATGAAAACATTATGACCAAAGGCTTAAAGCAGACTAACTTGCATTTTTCCCTAGGAGCAATGGCTCAGTATTTGCTAATTCAGTGGTCACAGTGACTTTATAGAACATACCTACCATGCATAATGAGTATCAGCTGTATTTTTATCAGCTTTACCTTTGTCTATTCATTAAACTTTTTATTAGTATATATTTGCAGGACACAATGATTACATCCATCATGGGGAACTGGTACGTGTACATAACATGTCTTGATTCTTTTTACTTCTGCTTCTCTTCCCCTTGCAGGTAACTTTAAATCCTCCATAATTGCCACAACAAAAGTTTTCTCTGATTCATGGATCTTTTGGGCCCCAAGTCTGCTCCTGCTTTGTTCCAGGTTGCGGCTCTGCTACAGTAAGCAAGACCCAGATGAAAGGAGGAGCCTGTATAGCAGGAGGAAGCACAGGAGTCAGCAGAAGCTCATAGTGCAAAACTCACAATGCTTGTGTTACATCCATTTATATTTCATTAACCAAGACACCTCAGAGCCACACCCAAAGTGAGAGAAGGAAGATGAGGTACAAGAGACTCTGGAAATCACAAGACAAGACAAGGGGCAGGAATAGATTATTTTTTTGAGACATGGTCTTGCTATGTAGTTCAGTCTGGTCTTGAACTCACTATGTAGTCCAAGTTGTTCTTCAACGTGTAGTGATGCTCTTGCCTCAGCCTCCTGAGTGCCGGGATTACAGGTGTGCGCCACCACACCCGGCAGAGAAATTACATATGTTGATTCCCTTCTATAATCCTAAATAATTGTGATGGAATGGAATGAATAATTGTGATTAATAATATAACCTATAATTACTACTCACTTTAGAATTTTAAAAAAATCTTATACATATATAAACCATGTATGAACCCATATATGTAAGGAAATTTCTTTTTTAAAGGATACTAAACTTTACCCTAGAAGGATAAATCTATGGCTGTTCACTAATAGACCTAGCCTATAGATGCCTAACTCACCATACTTGGGCTCCAGCAGTTACATCAGGTTGTTCCTATCCATTAAAACCCTCTTCAGTTTGTTTAGTCTCTAATATTCCTCACCAGACAGACCCCTTCTGGAGAACCTGTCTTCACTGGGCTTGGCTGTGACTTTTTATGGCAGGCCATCCTGGCCTCTAGATGTCCTCCTCAATCTCCTTGGGCTCTGGTCCTCCACTTCTGGCTCCCCTATGTCTAGATGCTCTTCTCACCCTGTTTGGTATCTTGTGTTGGGTCTTGTCCTCCCACCCATACTCCTATGGACACCCTCCTCACCCTCTGTTACTTGTGACAGTCCACAAGCAGGAGCTTCCTGACTGCTCCAGCACTCAGCCTTTTCACCAAGCTGCTCCCCTGCATGGACACCTTCCTCACCACCCACCCCAAGCCTTACCCTGTGTCAGGCTGTCCCATGGGCTAGGCTGATGGCTTTCTCACCCTGTTCAAGCCGATTTTCCATGCCAAGCTACTTCCTCCCCCTTCAGTGGGCACTCTTCTTATCGAACTCTGGCTCCAACACCCTGTGCTGGCAACCGTCCTGCAGATGCCCTCCTTGGCCTGTTCCAGCTCTGACAGCCACACTGGGCCACAGTGGCTCCCTTCCCTTTGGAACAGACGTCTACCTAGATCTACCCAGTCTAAAGGCTTTAGAACTGACTAGGTTAGTGTGTGAAGAGAAAAGAGAATAGAGGAAGAGCTACTCTTTCTTTTTGTAAAAGTGTATGAAAAATAAAATTTTAAAATATGCATTAAGTATTAATGCTCAGTCTAACAAGCTGATATAAGGAGACCACTCATTAAACTATCACAGACATCAGTTACATGTTTCCAACCCTGGAAGTTCCTTACTTGTTCCTTTCCAAGTGTAACACCTTCTCATGCTCCTGAAGGCAGACAGTGGTAATAACTTTCTTGCTCTTTTTATTCATATTTTTACAATATAAGCATGTATTTCTAAAAATATATGTCTTATCTTTGTCTGCTTCTGTTCTACATAATTAGGGTCTTTTGAAAGATATTTTGTGCATGGATTTTCACATTCAACATCGTATTTATAAGTTTCCTCTACACTGTTGTGTATAGCTATATGCTATTAATTTTTATTGCTGGATAACT